AAAAAAACCCAACAAGTCTCAAATTGTAACGAAGGAAGAAGACCCAAATAAGTCACAATTTGATCTGAACAGGGAGTCCACCAAAGATAGTTTCTAACACAGGCAGCCTCCTAAATATTACTTCAGAAACATAGAACAGAACAACCTATAAGAAACTCAAACCTGACCAACAAAGTAGCAGCAGAATCTGGTCTGAAGATTTGTTTATTTATTTATTTATTTCAAAATAATTTTTCCCTTCGTCAAACGTGGTTATATGATCTGAAACCACCACAAAGCAACCAAAAAATATCAAGGCAACCACCTCCAACAGTTAGGCAACTACCGGAAAAGTTGTCAATTTCCCGGTGGAGTTGCTGACCCAATACGGGCGAATCAGTAGCTTGGCTCTGATACCATGTAACTTATAAGGTAGGAAGAATAACTTGAATAACTTATTCATTACTCAACAAATACAATGATATAAATACATAAGGAGACTAAGTTAACTATGGTAACTAGATAGCCAAATCCCTATAAATCAGCTATGCTAATAAATACACAATCACTAATATACACACAATCATATACAAATCTGTAGTGATTCTGTAACAGTTTACAAAGGCGATGATACGAGCACATCCATATCTTATCTCCAAATTGAACAAGGAAGTTTACGTGGAAACCTTCTTGCTCAAGGGAGGAAAAAACCACGGCCTGTCACACAAGATTTCTCAAAACTCCACTAACTTTAAGCAACTTGCGAGTACAGACTCTTGTGATCACAAAGGATTAACTCTTAATCCTACACACCTTATAACACCTCTATTACAAGATACAAAGCAATAACCCTATTGCCTATTATATCAACTACCTCTAGTTAACATAGACTTCAAACAAACACAACTTGCCTAACTATAGCGATGAACTCAACTCTTTTGCAATTTAAACTGACATGATCTGATTTCCTTTATAACGTAGGAATAGATCTTATAACATACAAACACAAGACACTAAACTCAAATGATAATTTAAAACTTCTGTAGATGACTTGATCAGGTCCCTTGCTGCTTGAGAATAGTTCTTCCTTGAGAGAATGACTTTTGCTTTGAATATCTTTCATTTGCAAACGCTAGGTTGTTTCTTGTCAATGTGTCTAATGAATAAGAAAGACAAAACAACCTAGTAGCTCGCCATTGGCCGAGAACCCTCTGTTGTCGTGCCCACCTACCTCTGCAGTTTTGCCAGCTTTACAGCTGCACCCCATTGAGTTGTCGTGTGCGGCCTCAGCTCGAAGGATCAGGTTCCTTTACCAGATCCTAACTTACCATAGTTTGTTGAATCATCAAAATACCTTAATACAACAATGCTTTATTCTGTTTTTATTTCTGTCTTTCTTTATTGTATATTTCCTATTACTAGCGCTCTTTGTACTGTAAATAGATACTCCTTTGGTTCAGTGAATAAAATGAAAAGCTTTCTTGATCATTCAACATCTTATTTTGTAACAGCATTTTCCCCCAGTACATAGCATCCAAGTATACATTGAACTGGAGAGAAAGTTTAAACAAAGAAAAAAAACAATAATAATCGATCAGTTCTCGATCAAGTAGACGATAAGCAACCAGATATATGTTATGAACTCTCCACCGGTGACAAGATGCTCAGCGTGTTGTTTCCCTGGAACAAAAACTGCAGAATAGGATAGTATATCCACCCAGACTTCAAATAACACTCTCCATGTGTTATCCACTTCTTCACCTAGCCTATACTCCCGGATACGTTGACAACCCATCTCTCGAGCTAGTTCATAGCCATCTAGTAACAAGTTAGAGATGTTCCTTGGTCGTCTCTCTCTTGGGATTCCACGTAAATTAGTGTATGCAGGTTCAATCTTATCGACGATCTCTGTTATTACCTGACTCTGAATCTCCATGTCATCATAGAATCTGTTAGTTGCATCACATACATTTCGATAGCTTTGTAGCTCTTTTCTTGTCAGTGGTGACAGTATCTCTGGATGAACTTGCAGTAGATATAACATGTAGTCTGAGAGGTACTTGGCATACTGAAGATAATGTGATTCCTCCAAGTGATAGTATAATCTGTAGCCAGGGGCGGATCTATAGTGTGTCCAGGGGGGTCATCCGACCCCCCTCGGAAAAAAAATTACACTATATATATACGATCAATTTTTTTGTGTACGTGTATATATTTAAAATTGAACCCCCTGAGCATATGTCAAAGGAGTATTACCAGATTTCCCTAGACCTCACTGACTCCAATTTCGTCCAAAACTGGACTAGGCAATGAATTCTCAAGTTACTACCAAAATTATTTTCCTGCCCAAAATTTTTCCCTGTTGGCTTTTCCATAACGATGGAATCAGGTCATTACACTATTATTTGCAGGGGCGGATCTATAGTGTGTCCAGGGGGGTCATCCGACCCCCCTCGGAAAAAAAATTACACTATATATATACGATCAATTTTTTTGTGTACGTGTATATATTTAAAATTGAACCCCCTGAGCATATGTCAAAGGAGTAGCTCAGTGGTTTATGGGGGTCAGGATTCAGCCTATGTGAGCTTTGGGTCACGGGTTCGATTCCAAGCAACAACATTTTTTTTATTTGAACCCCCTTGATAGAATTCCTGCCTCCGCCACTGTCTGTAGCACACATCTGTGGCTATGTGCCAAACTATAACACATTCTTCAAAATTCGTGGATTCGAAGAAATGATCAGGTATTTGGTCACGCACAGCTGTGCTGATGAGAGATTGGAACCTGAAGTGATCATCCTCCATCCGCTCTCTCCTTAGTCGTTGTGCAATACAGTCAAAGACCAAATTTAGGAATTTGCTTTCCTCATCGGGCCGATGATCATAAACGTCTTCAATGGAGATACGGCTAATGTAGTTAAGGTTATTCCAGAACTGTTTCAGATCAAAATAGCCTAAGAACTTTTTAAAAGGGGCATTCTGCTTGGAATCATTAAAGCAGTAAGGAAGTAAGCTGAACTGTCCTATCTTTAAGGTAGGATTTTTGTCTCGGGTGATTATACATCTACCTGGAAGCCTTACAATAAATCCTTCCAAAAGACGCCACATTTTCCCCTTACGGATCCCTATCTGCACCAAAAAGCGTTTCGACAGTATGGACTCAATCAAACTCCCTGCCTCAAGGAGGAATGCCATAATTATCAGGAGAAAGGTGACAATTTTGTCAAAGTTGTCTGCTCGGTTAAATTCATCGTTGGTGAAAACTCCAACAGAAAACAGGATAAGCGCGATAAATACTGAAAGTAAGCTTACAAATCGGGCAATCCAGCCCCACCAAGTATGCAAGAATGCCATTTTTGTGTAGAAATGGTCATATGCAAAACATAGTTCCATCTTTATGTTGTTGAAAGCAGTAGCAGCATCAACGAGGTTAAAAGTTTCTCCGCGCCAACGCCCACCTCTAATCCTGTAGCAATCTTCGTACGACCTACTTTCAACATACAGGTCTTTGTGCTTGTTGAAAGCATGATAAGCTTCACACAGGGCTACTACATTTGCTTCCCTGGAGGCCACAGGAAGAACATCAGCTTCATTGTTAGCATCATCGGCTAGATGATCATTTTCTTCATTGTGAAATTGTTCTTGAAGATGGCCTTGTCTATGTGCGCTAATGAGACGATCTAATATTTGATTGATTTCCAAAATGCCAAGGCCACCGGGGCCATTTTCCTTGAAAATGGATCTACGGAGCTCATCCATGCTTCCTTTTTTATGCGCCAAAACTCTTTCAGCAAACTTTAAAGAGCCTCCAACCAACATGATGCGCGATGCCAAAGTGAACCATCTTGTCGAGGATCCCAGAATACTTATCGTCAGAGCTATGAACTCATAGTATAAAAATTTAAAGAAATGGCTCAGCCAGAATTCATTATCTGCCAAGGAAATTCCTACAAGTGTACTGTGCCTGCCCAAGTGTAGTAGGATGAAGGGTGACCAGATAATCAAAAGGTTCTTGATTTTTTTGTTATGATCATCAGGTGATGATGACACACTCGGTCCCAAAGGCAAGTGAAAGATGGCTCCTAGACACAACGTTGCAACGAAATCAGCAGCAAGGAAAATCCCAAGCCACAACGTCTTTCTCACGGTTCCAACTAAATTCCTTCTTTTGTATGTCCAAAATATAAGAAAAGCCTGCAATGTTATGCTAAACATAATGGAATATCCCAATTCCCATTGGTGAAACAGAAGTTTGATGTTATCTATGAACTTATCGATCTTCATCTTTCCCCGAGGAACTGAATTCTGCAGGAAAACAACAGACAGCAACACACTAAATTCACAGAAAAACAGAATCCCAGAGACACATGGAAAGATATCTAACTCAAACAGAACAGAAACTTATTATGTTTGAACCCAAACTTTGAAGTTAGTCAAAAAGCGGCCTTCCTCAGACCCTTCTAACCTGGGATGTGCATGTGCTTTGTGCACCAGACTGTCCTTTTTATATGTGACTATATAGTATGATTAAACTTCAAGAGAACAAAGAAGTTCTCCAGAGATATCATGAAGAAATCAGATAAAAAAAAAACAAAGGAAACAACAATTAATCATAAGCAAAGGGCGATCCAGTAGTTGAAGTTTATGGATTCCTCCAGCCACGCCGAACTCAAGTTAGTCTACACTCTACAACAATAACTGTGTTCATAATCAAATATTTATACATATTTAGCGGATTTCTTTATATATAGAAAGGCGGATGTAGCACACCCTGTCGAGTTCATCTGAACTTAGTACTTTCAATACATAGCATAAATTTATATATAAAAAAATCCATGCAAATGGCAAATGAATACATATACAACATAAGGTTGCTTTTAATGAACAATGCCATGAACAAAAATAAGAATAACAAAAACTAAGGAAAATAAAAGTGAAACTTAATCAGTTTTACTGACCTTAATGCTAGAAATATACAGAAAAATCACTTCTTGCTCCACAATTTATCAGCAAATATATGTAATGGACCTTATGTTGATGATAAGAAAAAGGCAAGCAAAAACAAAAAGTTAATAGAAACATTGACTATGAAAAATCAACAACAACAACATTATACAGGGTGAGTGTACGCAGACCTTACCACTATCTTTATAAGGTAGAGAGACTATTTACGATACGTCCTACCACACAAATTAGCTTAGAGAAACAACATAAAGCTACAACTTTTATATGGGAAACAAAACGTGTAAATGCAAGTGGGGAAACAAAACGTGTACATGGTTAATCCAAGTCAAATTGATCAAAGAACTTAAGCTGATGATCATGTAAATTAAATAATTAACAACTATACATTAATTAGTATTTTGGAATATAGGAACTTCATTTTTTTATGACCTAATATTGGCCAAAAGGAATTTCCCATAAGCTGTGGACTGCGTCTATCTATGGGAAAGTCAATGGAATAACCAAAAACAATTAATTGTAAAAAAACATCACTTAAATTTCACATTTTCACGAGTCTTATACTTTTAACTATTTATGTTTTATTTATATACCTAAATTATCACCTTTTCGCGAGTTTCATACCTAAATTATCACTCCCTTTGTATTAAAACACATCTCGATGTTCAGTTGGTCTACACAAGCATGTTGTCGATTGGGAACAAATATTTGACCAACTCAACATGAGATGTGTTTCAATAGAAGATAAAAAAAAGTTTAGTTAGGTAAAGAAAACAAAATGGATAATTGAGGTATGGAACTCTTGTAGTTTAGGTGTATTTTTGACCATTAACTCTATTTATTGCGTATAAGACCATGATTCTAACCCGGACCTTCCCGACCCATCAACCGAGTGCTGTAGGCAGGTTGGAATTATCCAACAATGTCCCTCTCACACACCAAGTTGTTTCTGGAAATTGAACTCATGACCTTAATTCTGATATATATACTACTTGCTAGGATTAAACGTTTATCAACATGTCAAAAGCTATAGCTCATAGCAAAATCGCATAATTTTGTTTCTTCTTAACAAAATTAATCAAGCAAGCATCATGTTTGATCATAACTCCGACACAAGCCATCTATAGCCCATCACTTGAGTCTCGTCATAGGCAGGATGTTGGCATTACCAACCGTTAATGTATATAAGATCTAATTAATCAAGTTAAATAAGTACAAGTTTTGCTATTTATTTTTTCCTTTGTTGGGATCATGGAGACATGGACATGTCTCTTGACCAACTCCAACAGCTACCTATCTTGGTTCTTACAAGTTGTAAAATTTTATCTATTTATTTTTATATTCTTCTATGTCCTAAGGTTGATAGTAGCTTGTCCGATATTCGGTTTGGAGTTTCGACAAATTCAGATCAACGCTCTCTAGTCTTTACTACAAATTTTTTTCATTCTCAAAATTTAAATTCGAGATCTCATAATTATTCTATTTAAGAATAGAAGGGACAACCTTTGGTGGTTAATTAAAAGTAATTAGTTGTTCCTTACTTTTGCTAAATCGAAAAAGATTGTAGTGGAGTGTTAAATGTTTCTTCATACTTAATCAGAGATCTCGTAGTTCAAGTCTGGCACAAGGTTGAAATTGTCTCTATTAGAAAGTGTATGTTTTACCTCAAATAATAAAATAAAAAATCAACATGAATTCGAATTTAGTCGCACCCAATAAGCACACCAAATAATGGGAAACAAATAAAAAAGTAATTGATCATGAAAAGAATCAGAAGAACAGTTCCATGCTGAGTTTATTAAGTGCCCATTTGAGAAGTAAAATAAAAAATAATAAATAGTTAGAAAAAGGGAAATATCATCAAACACAATAGCTTAGTTGGTATGTGACCATTTCCAAATATCATATTTCACTTTGAAAACAAAATTACTTTTTCTGAATTTTTATAATTTTTTCAATTTTCACAATGAAACAATGATTGAACTCTACCTTATACTAAATTCAACCTATACAACAACAACAAAATATAATTCAAATTCCACAAGTGAGGTCTGAAAAAAATGATGTTTACACAACTTTATCCCTACCTTTGTGCAGGTAGAGAGGTTGTTTCAGATAGATCGTCAACACAAGTAAAGAATAATAAAATCATGTATGTAAAGGAAAATACATTAATGCAAAATAAAATATTGGAGCATATAGGTATCAAATTATAACAATACAAATTTGTGAAAAATAGATAGAGAAAATGAATCAAGAAAACTTGATCAACAACCATGAAGGATTTTCCAATTTTTTACATGATCTCATCAATTCACTAAAGGTCCTGCAGCAGCAAGCTTTATCAAGTGATACATTATGCTCACCAGAAGCTGATATCATTTTGAGTCTTCATCTGTTGCCTTTGAGCACGAAGCAATGCCAGTTTGCTCATACGAGCCTTCCCAATTTTGTCCATCAAAACATTTGATCTCAACATGAGTTAGCGTGCCAGGATCAACACACCTTAATGTAACAGCTATTCCATCTGGATTCGATCGTGGAATGTAAAATGAAGTTATGCCACAAACTTTGCAGAAAGTGTGCTTAGCTGTGTGAGTACCGAATGTATAGGTTGTAATGAACTCCTTGGAGTCTCCGAGAAGTTCAAATCTCTCCGAAGGAACTATGAAGTGTGTGTTTCTTCTCATGGAGCAGTCAGAGCAGTTACAATCCCACGCAACAATGCTAGATGGTGCATAGACTTGCCATCTTACTCTTTTACAGTGACATCCACCGGTATGTAGTACCAGCTCGGAATCCATTCTTCAGAATCGTCTATCTCCAGACTGATACTGCATCACACATCATATGACATATATTAGTGTTTCATCTTGAAATGAAAATTTCCCCGAACAATGTATTTATTTCATACGTCTGCAAACGACAAATCTAAGGACTTATCATACTAGCAAGCAAAAATGAAGATCAGCTTAGGTGTAAGCTCTGGTACATCTTGCCTCGGATATTGGACAACTTACAGAATGAATTAGCATGTACAAACTGAAACAAATTTTTGCGGAAAATGTTTGTACGAACAAATCTGTATATCACCAAACGTTTAACACGTTCTGTTTTCAATGAAGAGATTGTACCATAATTATTCTATTGTTTCAAGGGAAAAGTATGAGATAACACATTTTATATGATCAGAGTGAAATAAATGATTTCCCACATTGTGTAATTGAAACGTATAACGACACCTTTTATCTAAGATCAGTTCCAAATCATCGACTGCCTAGACAGTCATTTCAATACAAATTTCTGCTGAAACTAGTTTCCTCTAACACGTTCGAGAGAATGAACTTGAGGATATCCAACAAAGAACTTCCTGTTATTAACATAAATGTGAAAAGACAATACACTGAATACATAAGCATATAATTGTTTGCAAGTATATTACTGTGAATCATATCAGATTCCTATCTATTTAGGCTAGGTAGGAATTAGGATCGATATATTCATCAAAATGGGATTGATGCAACACCAGACAGTGTTTAACTCGCGTATTCTGCTAAAGATAGGCAAAATGAACAGCAGTAAAGAGTAAATCCATAGGATATTTCATCATTAGAGAAAAGCAATGACATTTCAAGATCATAGACAGCCAATACACTTATGCTTTAGGATCTCATCTATCCAAATTCAAGCGTCGATGAGCAGCTCCGATACAAAGGGCATGGCTGCTAAACACACATCAGTGACGCATGTAACCTGAATAGAAATTGCATTCTAATCTAATATCCCCTCTGTTTTACTATGTTTGTCGTAGTTTGACTCAACCCAAAGTTTCACAAAGAAAGAACGATTTTCGAAACTTGCAGTCTTAAATATGTTATAGCGCTTTAAAACCTTTTAAAAAGTAGTTTTCAAGCCTATATATCTTCCTCTCTTTTTTATGCGCACACCTCAACTAATTCCACCGCATACCTACTTCCTCCCACCAACACAAATACTAGATAATTACGCCACCATGACTTATGCAGGTGGAAAGAAATCACCTCGTGTTTTTCAGATCTTATTGCAATCTTCTACTGTCACACTCTTTGTATGCATTTTAGCAGAATCCAAAAATTCAGCAGGTCATTAGTATATCGGAAACAACTAAGGTAGGGGTAAGGTCTACGTACACTCTACACTCCCAGACCCCACTTGTGAGATTACACTGGATATATTGTTATTGTATTTGTATACATATTCTTAGCTCGAACTTGACCAAACACATAAAAAGTCCCAAATTTGCTTAATTGCCTCTAAACTTAGAGCAAAGGTACAATCTTTTCAACTGTT